TCATGATTTATTAATATTAATTGGTTGTCTGGAGTTTATTAAATAAATTATCTTAATTATAATTTCTGCAATTTAAAAATTTATAGTTGATTTTAGTTTTGATCCCAGTAAATGTAAAATCAGATTAGTGTAAATTTTTAAAAGTCAAAATTATTTTAAAATTACATAATTTCATCATTATGAATATATTGGTAGTAAAGTTGATACAAAATTTAAAAATAGTCAGTAAAAAGTTATTCTAAAAATTTCTGTACACTATATAGCCAAAAGTTATGGGACACTTGTTTGATTAGAAAGAACTTGTCTAAAACAATGTGACAGTATACAAATTAGGGCATGCTGATTAAGACACTTGTAGTTGCATATTTTCCTCCAAAATGGTGCAAAGAAGAGAGTTGGATGTGTTCACAAGAGGAATGATTAGAGGAGCCCTGAAATTCGGTCATTCTATAAGGGAGATTTTGCAGCAATAAGAAATTCCGAAGTCCACCATCAGCAATGTAATAGCGAAATGGAAACAAAAGAGAACCACTGACCCCAATCTTTGCTCTAGTAGACCCAGAATATTGTCCAAACTGAACTGCTAAACACAGATGTGTTGTCCGATCTAATATCCAATTAGCCTTGACCATGATTGCTGAGAATTTCTGGAACAGGTTAGGCACACAGGCCAACGACAGGACTATATGCCAGGAAATGATAAGACTCTGATTTCATGGTCATGCTGCTACCCGCAACCCCTTGATCATATGCACCAATGCAAGACATCACTTGGAGTGGTGCAAGTAACACTGTGATTGGACTGTGGAGCAATGGAAACAGGTCCTGTGGAATGATGAATCACACTACATGATCCAGTATTTGAATGGATGCATGTCAATGTGGCGGTTGTCAGGTGAATGGCATTTACTGAAGTGTGTTGCTCAAACTGTAAAATTTTATGGTGGCAGCATCATGGTCTGGGGCTGTTTTTCCTGGTATGGATGTGGGCCATTGGTTTTGATCAAGGGTGCAGTGAGTGCCAGTGTTTACCAAGACAATTTTGATACTAACATGCTTTCCACATCGTGGCAGCAGTTTGGAACTAGCTCTTTTCTGTTCCAACACAATAATGCACCAGCCCATAAAGCAAGGTCTAAAACGACATGGTTTGAGGAAAATCACATGAGTGTGCTTGATTGGCTTGCTCAAAGTCCTGACCTCAATCCCATCGACCATCATTGGGATGAGCTGGAGCAACAATTGCATGCCAAACAACTCATCCAAAAAACACCCTTGAACTTCTCAACATGTTAAGGAACAAATGGAGGCAAATTCCACCAGCAGTGTATCAAAACTTGGTGGAAAGTCTACCCAGAAGAGTGAATGTTGTTATAGCAGCAAAAGGAGGCCCAACCTCCTATTAAGTATTGAATACATGGTCTGGACCTTTCAAACCAGAAGAATTAGATGTCTCATGACTTTTGGCTATATAGTGTATACAGCATTTACTCTCATATGAGATGAGGTTTTTATTCATTTTTCACTGCTTCAAAAACTTAGGTTGTCCTATATGTGCAAGTGAAGGATTCTTTGCATTTTTGCAGTAGTTTTTGTGAACTGTGTATTTGCATTTTTTTACCAGATGCTTACCCTCTTGTTTTTAAAAACAAAAATATTTTATCTGGATTATTTGAATCATTCTTGTGTATTGTCAGGAGTAAAGATGAATAGCAATAGAAAAAGCAAAGCTTTTGAATTGAATTCCAAATTGAAATTTCAAAATCACACAGGAGCCCAACTATAAGTTTTAATTCATCCCAATGTGATAACAGATGATTATTTGGAAATTAGAAATTGGAGAAACTTGTAAGTGTAATCGATAGACAGTGGATTTGACTGTTAAGAATTGGCAAAAAGATTCCTGATTGTCCAGCTTTACATGAACAAATTATGGTGTCAATTTTACAAGAATTTTCTTAAAGTTTAAAATGCCAGTCAATTTTGTGGGACAATGTATGCATTTACGTGCATTTGATATATTTTTTTTTATGATTAAATGAAATAAAATTAGAATTATATTAATAAATCTAATTTTCTTTATTTTGATCTTTAAAGTCACACTTCGTCCTATATGCGAGATTGTCTTATATGCGAGTAAATGCAGTATATACAGTAATATATCTTCCACAATTTTAAGCAAAAAAGATAAAATATAATAACTGTTATATTTACACAGTACTAACAAAAATATAATTTTAACATTATTATTTTAAAATAAAAAAATTTTAATAATCAACAAAACTAAAATTAATGTGGAAAACTATATGAATAATTTGAATAAGTAATATTTATAAAATGTTATTTATTCATATTTAGCTTTAAAAGAAGAAATTATAATTTTGTTGTTAAAGTTTATAAAATCATTTTTAAAACATTGTTATTTTTTTATAAAAAGTATTTAAAATTATTTTTGTGTTTATCATAAAATAATATCAAAGTCCAAATAGGATTACTTATAAATATACCAATGCTCGATATTTTAGTAATATGCCAAACGATTGAAGGATTAAATTGGCTACTTTACTGCTAGATTAGTACTGGAGGTAAGCCTAACACCTACCTCTAGTACCAAATTATTTAGAATTTAATTAATAGTAAAGTAGCTCAATTTAATCCAGCAATTATTTGGCATATTGGATTAGTGAAATCTCTTTAAAATGAATAATAACTAACAATAATTAACAGTTTTTATAGTCCAGTATAAAAAATGTGCATAACAGTTGACCTCTCTTAATAGACACATTTCATTATGGAAAATTGTACTATTGTTGATGTCTTGATCTCTCTTAATGGTTTGCTTTCACCATCAAGTTTACTTCTTTGAGTCTGTGGTTGTAATTAAATTGATTCCAAAAAATCATTATTGCATTTCCTGTTGATCTGTTTAAGTTTTAGAATTTAACTGCATAGTTTTATTATGGCATTGTAATTTTTTCTTGCATCAATTTTATTAAGTTGAGGATATCACTATTAGGAGAAGGTTAAAAAAACACTGTACTAATGTCTACTGTATCTTGTTGATGAGGCTGGCTGAAAATAGTTGTATGGACATTCATTCAGTCCCTTAATTGTTATACATGTTCTCTTGCACTTGTCTGTTGTCATACTTGTCTCTTTTCACATTCTCATATCACTTAAGACTAGGATTGCCAGATTCCTACAACTGTATTAAAGGACACTTAAAATTTATTAATGCTACCACTCTCCAGCTTACACTCCATATCAGAAGTTGCCAAAAGGCCATGAATCAACTTCAAACAGTTTTACATCAATAGAAAAGGCAGAGACAGTACAAAGGTAGCACATGATTTAATTATGCATAGTGAGATGCAGATTGTTACAATCTATTGTAAAAAAAATATATACACAAAAGTATTAAAAAAATAATAATACCGACTGACACTCTTAAGGAAATTCATCACTTACTGTAATGTGCCACATTACTACTTTTTGCATGATGTGTGTTATATTTTCATAAATAAAAATAGTGCAGGTTACATTTCAAAGCAATGTTTATAAAACCTTTAGGGTGGAATATGTAACGGACAATTTTTTGATCCTGAAAATGTCCATTATTGAGAGGTTTCACTGTATTATGAAATTTGGTATCACATTTTTGTGGAATGACCAGCATATCATGTATAAATGGGAGAGACCAGCATTCCGGTAACCCTGGAGTTTCCAGAATGCTGGTTAAACTGTGACTAAAATATAAAATTAATCAGATCTAACAAAACTAGTTGTTAATTAAGTGTTAAAGAAAACATTTTTCCAAGTACAATAAAATAATAACATTGTAATTTGATTGACTTAAAATCTGAAGAGAGTTAGAGAGTTTTTGTTTACAAGACAATAAAACAATTAACAACTTATTGACATTAATAGTAGTAGTAGGTAGTCAGTGTGGGCTACTCTACACCAACCTTAAAAATGACACCTTTCTCTCAAATTTCACACAAAGCCAATGTTAATTGGTGTAAGCTGAGATAATTTAAGGAAGTTTCTTAAATTCAATATGTTTGTTTTTGAATCAATAAATAAAATAAACATAAAAAAAGCACTTTCTGAATTTGAAGAGTATTTTATGTTGTTAGAAAGAAGACAAAATGAAGAAATTAAATGTATAATCATAGGTTTTGATGTAATAAACTATGCTGACAGTTTCACAGTTTTAGAATAAAAACTCATTCTTGCTGTTTTTAACCCTCTAGATGAGCCCTCTAGAGAGGGGTGAATAGCCCACTTAAATCGGCATGGATTAGCTGGCATGCCATTTTTTCCATAAGGAAATATATGATTTCATGGTCTCTCCAGATAGACTGACATGCCAGTCATTCTGCAAAAAAATATGTTAAATTAAGACAGTTAAATTGATAATAACAGCATTTTTATGTAACAAATTTTTTTTATAGATACTAGTGGCTTTGGGACAAAACCGCTTGGTTCTAATGTATTTGGTACATCTTTTGGAACAACAGCTCCTACTGGAGCAGCAAGTGGAAGTATATTTGGAACATCGACTTCTAACACTGGAACAAGTGTATTTGGACAGCCGACTGCAACATTTGGTCAACCAGCATCAACTGGAAATACAGCATTTGGTAAATATCTTTTTTACAAAAAATTATTAACTTATTTTTTTCTGTGGTTTGGTACAAGAGAAACTTTGACTAATTGTTTTGAAGATTTATGACCATATCTGTATACTAAGCATTTGTATCATTTTTCATTTACTAGAATGACCAAAATCTTTCTGAATAATTTAAATGATGTAAATTCATTTTATTCATATACTGCTCTACATTAATAGAGATTGTTTTTTAATTTATAAATATACAATAGAATTTGTTTATTGTAATCATTGATATTGTTATCAGTTATTTAATTTTATCAAAATTAGCAGATTCCAAAATATATAAGCTAAAATACACATATTATAATCAGAGTTTCAGTTAAAATAATCAATATTTTTGGATAAATAGGCATTTTTAAGCTTTCTTACTCTGAGTATGTGGCCAATAACATTGCAAGCTCAGTTGCTGTTATTAATCTTTATCAGTGCTTTAAATGTTAAACATTAATCATTTTAACTGTTATTTACTTGCAATAATTAAATGTAAATTGCTGGCATTTGTTACTTTAGTTATGTGCAAACTGTTATTAAAGATATTGCAAAAACAGCAAGTAAACATTATTTGATGAATCACTATTAATTAGTGATGTAACGAATATTCGGTTACTATTCGGTATTCAGCCTATTTTTCGCTATTCGGCCGAATACTGAATATTTAATCACTATTCAGCCGAATACCTAAAAACAGGAGTAACAAATAACAAAATCACAGTATATTAATTATTTTGGTATTTAGATTTAATGTTTTCGGGTTAGTATTGTTTGTTTATATTTATTTATAACTTATAACATGCACAAAATAAAAAAGAAAATAATATTAGTCACATGTATTCACAATTTATAATTACAAAGACCAGCACACGTACACACGTATACACCTATTTGTTCAAGAATCATCACACATCTGACAGTGAGGGTCTGACCCTGCCTATCCTTCTTTTTAAGTGCTCGTCTTTGCTCTTCCCTTTCTCTTTCTTCTATCGCTCTAGTTCACATATGCCTATGCATACATCATAATACGCACTCACGATACTTTCAATTCGTCACTTTTCCGTCATAGATTTCCCATTTTACAATTACATGACTCATAGCCTGGTGATAACGGAGAAAAGAGACACATAGAACGTCGGAATAAGTCACAGTTATGATTTCACAAATTCAAGACAGCTTGGTAGCCTGAACGGCCCCAGGTTTTCACCCGTGCACACTAAGTGACTTTCATTACAAGCATTTAGCTTTCCGAAGTATATGACAACAATTGTTTGGCATTGACGGCGCAAAATTCGTGCCAATAAGCTGCCTCCACTTGTTCCATTATGTTATAAACTCAATTTCATATTTATTTTCACATTTTCACTTCATGATCCTTCTCTGTTCTTTTTCTGTTATTTACACACGTAGGTCATTTCATTGTTATCCACATTTGATATCATTTATCACATACTGCCATGACGCTCTTGTCTGTCCGCTACAACTGTCAAGAATTAACGCGATTGGCAAAGCGTAGTGACAGCTGACCAAGAGAGAGCAGGGTCCTCACCAAAATGTGGTTTGCGTGCCAATTTTCGTATGTGCATTCGTCAAGCCGAATAGTTTGGCCGAATATTCGGCTATTCGGCTACGCTCCTGGCCAAATATACTATTCGTTGCAACACTACTATTAATTATTAATAATAATTAATAAATCTTTAATTTATACATTTTTAATTATTTTAATATGTCTTTTTTAATGTCAGATTAATCAAACCAAATGTATAATTTTATTTACTTAAACTACTTAATGTTATTGATCAATAAAAATTTTTTGATATCAGACAAAAAGTGATATGAATATATGTGCACAGTTTGACTTCTGACAACTGTAGGTGAAAGGATAGAGAAAAATTTTCAAGTTAACAAAATTTCTTGTTGCAGAAATTGCCATTACTGTAATGAGGTTGTAAATACAGTAGAGCATCGATTATCCAACTCAATTGGGGACTCAGATTGGTCGGATAACTGAAAATATTGGATAACCGAAAAGAATGAAAAAAATACGTTATTAGTATAGTATATTAGTATATCCCATGTAATTAGTATATCTTATATAATTATATTAGTACAGTCGACCCCTCTATAATGTGGTAGATACATTCCACTTTGGGTACGTTCGTAAAGTCAAACGAGTTAAACGCATTAGTAACGAATCGTTTGAATAGTAGTAGTCTCGCTCAGTGCGCATGCTCTGCGGTGATGACGTTTCGAACGAAACTCTAACGAAGTTCACAAAGGAAAGAGTTAGTTTACTTCGTAAGAAAATGGCGCCCGACAATATCGATGTTTCTAAATCTACTCGAGTGTTTAAATTGTGAATTAAAAGATGAAATGATTGAAGTAACTGTCCACCCGAAGCAATCTAAGAAAAATATTTCGGATAAGGCTGTACTAGCAACATTTGTATCTTCGATTATAGAAACAGCCATTTATTAATAGTTCTAAACGAATCGTTCGAAAAGTCTAACGAAATAAGAATAACGATGACGTCATTCTCGTTTAACTCGTTCGACTTTATGAACGTGCCCTTTATAAGAATTTCACGTTGTAGGAATCCTTAAATATAGGAGCCAATCACAGCCCGGCACATGTGCAGTTTAGGGACTATGGCTGTTTGAAAGGTTTTATTCCATAAAATTAATCAATTCTAGACTAATTTGACTCAACATTTCCAAAACACGTATAATTTTTTGGGAATAATCCGTATAAACTATGCTATAAACAAAAAATTGTATGATTACTTACCGAGTGTGCACCATTTGATGATGCCATTGCTTAAGCTTGTTTTTGTCACAGAGCGGCACATCGAACAGCGGGTGCATATTTCCTGATAAGTTATTTTTCTGCGAAAAATTTGCTGAACTTTGGAGACATCATTAATATAAATATAATTTTTATGATAATTAATACCCCATTAACCATTAAATAATAAATGGTTTTTAGTAGGGCCACTGCTCGTTTAAACTCAACTGTTTGTGCAATATCTGCTGTTGGTCTAGGTTTGACCAATCCTGTCACAACACAAGTTGGCGATGCCGTCTTACCGTATTATACAAGTCTCTTCTAGTGTGTTTATACGAATACAATCGCAATTTTTTTGCCGTATTATATGAGCCTGTTTTATAGGGGGAGTCTACTGTATTTTTATTATTTCTTAAGTATCTATACGTACAGAATAAATTGCTTGGGCCTGGATGACATAACTGGCAAGTGCACTGCACAGTATGTGGAGGTTATGGATTCAAGTCCCACTCTGGCTAGTTCTTTTCTTCCAGAATGTTCTAATTTATTTAATAAATTATTGAATTATTATAATTATTAATTTAGATAAGAGATGGCACTTAATGTCTATCTCTTGTACCAAATTACTTAGTTTCTAATTATTATTATTATTATAGCATAATAATAGTTTGGTTAATTACAGTAAGAGTTTAGATTAATACAAAATAACAAAATATTTATATCAGTGAAAGAACTGTATTATGTGAGTTTGACAAATATCTATTGCTTCCTGCTTTACATTACCTTTGAAGGGTTCAATTACTTGAAAATATTTTGTTTCAGTTTAATATAACCTCTAGAAATTGTTAAAAATTTAAAAAGTAGCACTGTCAATAAGATTTGATTGGCCAATTTGCATTTAAGAATAATGTGTTAGGCATGAAATATTATTAGATTTTTTTTATTTTTGTATTATGGCTTCAGAGATGCCAACATGTCTAGTAACTTTGTATCTTCAAGTGTGTATAATTGTTTTTACTTCATGTTTGAAAATCAATAGAAGTTATACAAAATTAGATATCAGAATAAATTTATCAGAACCTTAATTTTGAGTTAGTTAAAAATGCTGTCAAAACCATTTTTTGACTTAGGCACAAAATTTTTGAGTTTAAGGAAGCTACAGTGGGACAAAAATAAAATTTGATGTAGTGAGAGATTTGACTTAACAAAATTTGACTAGTTGAGAGTTATATGTATACACATTGATTATTTTTTTTCTAAATCTATAAATGTATTAGAGAGCTGTATTAAATATTTCTTACACTGTGAAATAAAATACATTTGTAGGATTTGGTTCGACTTCTACTGCTGGTGGATTATTTGGCAGTTCTCAGCAACAAAGTACCAATAGTGGCATGTTTGGTAACACTGCAACTCCTGCCTTTGGAACTTCAAGATCAACTTTTGGAAATTTCGGTAGTACCTCAGGTGGTTCAACACTTTTTGGTACTAGTCAAACTCAACATACTAGTGGATTATTTGGTCAGAATACATCAGCTGGTGCAGGTCTTTTTGGTTCTTCAGGTAAATCGAATATGTATTCAGATATTTTGATTTGCTGAATTTTCATTAAGAAATTGTTTCATAGATAGATTTATGAATGAATTTAGTTTATTATATTATGCTGTGCAATAAATTTATGTTACTATAATACTTAGCATTACATTTAAGGTTGGATGCTTTATTAGAAAAAATACATATATTTAATAATTTCATTTTAAATAAATAAATTTTTGAGACACAAACTTTATAATTGTTTCCATCAAAATAGCAAAATAGAAGTGAAATTCAAATTCAAATGACAATTATTTTTATATCTTTTGTTTAATCAAAATATTTGTGAAAATTGTCGTTTCATTTAATTTACTAAATGCTACAGATGCTAGAAATTGGTTAATTATTATTTCTGAAGAATATTTACAGAATTCCCTTTCAGTGAAAAGGCAATTATAAATTGATTCTTGTGGAATTGAGCTGTTAGGATATAGTTTTGTATAATAATATGCATTGCTAGGATGAAGCTTTATATAATTACATTATTGAATATATTTTTATTTACAGTACTTGTAANATTAAAATATTTTTAATTATATTTAATGCCTCATAGTCTGAAGTTTTGGAAGAAGTTTTGATTGTAATAATATAATTTTAAACATTTAATATATCTAATATTGACATTTTAAATATGTTAATAAAAAATTTTTTTGTTTCTGTATCATTATTTGAATATAAATTAACAATTTACCGATTTATTTTTCAATACAATCTGAAAATTCCTCTAAATAACATACATTGATTTTTAACATTATATGTAATTTTTGGAGTTAGAAGATGATACAAGTTTTTCTGTTAAAAATTATCATTTTCTCAGGAAGCTTACAAATAAAATCATCATGAAACTAATTGTATCTTGAAATAAATAACTGCATAAAAATATTAAACAAATTATTAATATTTATATTTTAATATATATGCAAAAATAAATTTTTTTGTTTTAGGTGGTTTTGGGAGCAGTACATCAGGAACAACAATTAAATTTAATCCCCCAACTGGAAGTGATACAATGATGAAAAATGGTGTATCTACAAATATAAATACTAGACATCAATGCATTACTTGTATGAAAGAGTATGAAAATAAAAGTTTGGAGGTAATTATTTAAATTCATTTTTATTTATTTCATATAAAACTTTTAGAAAATACAAGATTGACAAATAAAAATGTCTCGTCATTGTTATATTTTGAGATTTTTTCAAAATTATGATAATTTAAGCCAGTGGTGGCAAACATTTTTGAGTCCACATGCCATATAGTAAGCATACTTAGCTTACTATAGATGTTTATGCATGCCAAAGTTTTAGACTTCAAATAATGATATTTAAAAAAATTAAATGAATACACTTTAATCAATGCAAAAAAGCTGATTGAAAAAGGATGATTGGGTGATAAGCCAAAAGGATGATTAAAAAAAAAAAAACAGATGATAAATTGAAATCATATGATATGTTGCATGCCAAATGATTTCTCTCTATATGCCACAGTTTGCCGCCCCTGATTTAAACAAATGTTTCAATGAAATTGAAATATTTAAAAAATAATAGTTGGAAGAAATTTTAATATTGAAATTACTTCATTAATATGAAAGGAAATGTTTATTATACATCTTTTAATTAAAAAATATTTTATGAAAATACTAATGCCTTTTATCTTTTGAATCAACTCAATTAAAAGAATCAGTAAACTTTATTGATTATTTTACTTCTCTATTTTTATATTTATATTCTTTTTGAATCAAGACTAATGAGAATTCAAAAAGAGACGGCAGATAATTGAAAAGAATATTTTCAAATATTTATCATTTTTGTTCTTAAAAATATAAATCTGAAAAGTCTTTATGCTGAGATGTGAAAAAATAAGACCTAGAAATTTTATTGATTCAGTACTCTTTTCTGTTTATTTAATTTTTTTATCCAACTTCCAGTATTTGATCTGATATTATGTAAAAATTGTAATTTGAGATTATTAATACTCTCAGATCCTATCAGATCTGCAAAATTAAATATTGAGATTATTTTATAATCTAACATAAACTTTGTTCGTTTTTTAAGAGACTAACAGAAATTTAGTCAAAAAATAAGTAAAATAGTACAGTAGCAAAAATATATTTGTATATTTATGTATTTGTAAAGCATAAATATATTTGTAGTCTGTAATTTAGGTATTTATATATACAGTATATAATTTCAAATTTAATTTGAAGTTTTAATAGTTATACAAAATTGGAATTTTTAATAATAGAAGTTCATGTCATGCATAGTTGACAATATCTTTTATGGAATTTTTGATGGTTGAATACATTATACAAGTTTCTGTCATTGCTCTCAAACATTTAAGAGTTGTGCTTATGCATGCAAATTTTAATTTTTTGTATTTAAAAATAAAAAGTATATTAATAAATTTATCCATTTTATATTATTATTATTATTTGATAAACAAAACTAATAAATAGATTTACTGCTCAGAATAATACTTTTGACCTATTATACTTAAAATAATAATTTTTTTAGGAATTACGTGTGGAAGATTATGTAGCAAATCGTAAAGGTCCTCAAGGTGGAAATATTGGTGCATTTGGTTCTACAGGACAGGCTAGTTTATTTGGGACTCCTGCATCTACATCAACATTTTCATTTGGTACCACTCAAAATAAACCTCTCTTTGGTGGCACAAGTACAAGTAAGTTTTATTATATTGATGAAAACTTGATCAATATAAAATTAAATCAAATATTAAGTTAATTATGTTTTTTTTAAATAATTTATTACGAAAATAATATTTATTGTATTAACATTATTAATTTTAAAATAATTACATAATATAACAACATAGTCAATCTAAATGAAATTTGATCATAATTTATAAGTATTAGTGTATTAATGCAAAACAAAAAATCAGGATTGAGAAGTAAATCTTGAATGCTTGTATTTTATATATGATTATGTATCTGACATTGAGAATAAATGAAATAATGTCTTTAAAATTCTGAAAAAAGCAAATTTATCATTTATATCATTAGTTGTTTGTAGATAAAAATATTGACATTTAAAATGTTATTAAATTTCAATATGCTTTGATATTTTTATATGAAAAACATATTAATGCAATTTTTAATGATAAATGTAAATGAAATTAAATATAATAAATTTTAAGACAATATAGTAAAAATTTGAAAGAATGAGTAAGTTAAAGGTAAAGTTAGAACTATTTTTCAAAATTTGTAATGATAATCTGATACAGATAGGATTGTTTGGAATGAAAATGATAGATCTCTATTCTATTATAGATCCTCTAGCATTCTATTCCAGTTTTTTTTTTTTAATCTGATAAATTTGATTCGAAATTACCTTGAATTGTTAGAAGATAAAACATTTTTTTCTTGTAGCAAAAAGTATTTTAGAAACATTCCAATCTTTGAAATTCTGAACAAATTATCAATTTTACTTTTGTGGCTGTTTTCTAAATATATAAAATTACTTGTCCTGACTGACTGACTGAGTGATTGATTCATCATTGCCCAGAGCAAACTGCTGAACCTAAAGAGGTGAAATTTTGTACACAGTTAGGGCACGTCANTGTGTTGACATAATATTCTATTATATAATAGTTATGCCAAGGAAAAATTGGATAATTTAGTTACTTTAAAAGCAAGTTAAATGCAAGTTTTTGATTGTTGAATCTAGATAGCCATAGTCTAGGAATAATGTTGAAATGAAATGAAGCACACCATTTTCATTGTGGTGTATTTAATTTCATTTATTCATATTAAGTGATTATATTAGAAAATAGTATAATTTTTGAAGATAGAATGCTATGAACTTATTCATTTCAGCAGTTGAGTTGTTAAAAAATAGATGCTTTAAGCTTATGATAATAAATTAGGTAAGATTAACTGATTAATTTAAGATAGTAAATATTTAGAGCATTTGTTTTAGTTAATCTCCGAGGTTTTTGCAAATCACTGTGAGAGACTTCCTGAATCCAAAAAAGTTAAAAAAAGTTCTGTGGATGTGTGCATGAGTGTGTTGGTATCCATTTCACTTAATATCTCAGAATGGGATAAAGATTAAGAAATGAAATTTGGCATGGTGGCTTGCATATGAGGCCCCATTAATGCTATTAAATTTTGATGGTAAAAGGTCAAGAGGATGGGAGATAATGTATCTTGAGAGGGATAGGACTTAATGAAGATTTTATTTGTTATTAGCATTTACAATTTTTCATAAAACTCATCCTTATTCTCAAAATTTAGCTTTTTGTCATTTTATAGTGATTAAAAATATAAAAAGTTTTTATAACAAAATCTGGTAACAGATGACATTACACACAATTTCATTTTTTGCTTAATTAATTAATAATATAAGTTTTTTTTAATAAAAACTCATAACTGCAGGAAAGTTATGCAACTCTCATTGCTGGATTTTTAAATTTTGTTTTGTATTATATTTATCCAACTAGTGAATATTTACTGAATGTTGCTGATAAACAAACAGATTTTGAATGTAGCCATTAGCTGATAAAAATTTGTCATAAAAAAGAACAGGAAATATTTATTAATTAATATAAATTATGTTGACACTATCTCTTATAATTTTGTAATTTTCTGATTAACCATTAAATTAATTAAAATAGTTGGATATAATACTGAATTTATGAAATTTTTATTTTTATATGAAATAGCTAAATAAATTTGCTAGATATAACAATTATGATGTAAGTGTTTCTAACTTTAAAATTTTTTTTTATGTAAAAATTATTGTTACATTATTTATTTAGTGGAAACAAACTAATTATTTGATACGCATTTATTTTACTAATCCTATATATTCTTCTTCATGGCTCAGAAATAGATATGTCAATAGCTGCATTATTATAGAATTAAGTCTAAAAATTGAATATAACAAAAATGAAAAATTGGAGTCCAAAATTCCATTAATAATTCCTCAGATTTTTTTTTTTTTTGTCATATTTCACATTTTGGCATCAAGAATGCACAGGAATATACTGTGTGTTTTGCGATTTTGTTTCTTTTTTGATGTCAAATTGTGACATTTGTAGCAGATATTAGAACTATTTATTTCTTTTGTAAGTAAAATAATCAGTTCTTATGATGTCTGTCTGTCAGAGATGAAAAACATTTCTCTGATTGATATATAACAAACCTATATATAACAAGATCAGTAGTGCCTTTGTTTCTATCAATACAAGATTAACTTCTCTAGCATTCATTGATTTTGAAATTGTTCTGAAGTATTTCTATTTTTATTTACTGATGGAAATAGAAAATTTTAACATGATTCTTATCAATGAAAATCATGGTATTTTCACTTTTGTTATTGTTGTTTGTGTTTTCTTTTTTGATTTATATTTTCATGAGATGAATAAATATTTCAATCAGAAAATTTTCTAAATAAAATATTTTCTGATTGAAATATTTCTGATCTTACTACCAATTCACATATCTTCTCACAGAAATAGAATAATGAGATGCATTTGTTGTGCTGGGATTGTCATGCAGTTATTTTGAGGAATTGCTGCTTGTTGTAATGGATTAGATACATGCCAATTCTTATTTACTCAAAGATTCCAATTTATGGCCATTCTTCTGAATTTGTTTTGTTAAAAAATCCAAAAAAATTATATAAAGTCTATTTTAATTTCTAGCTAGGCTACTGGAACAGACTGCCTAGTTTATTAATTTGAATAAAAAATTTTTCTGGAGCTTAGTAGGTTTAACTGAAAATTATAATTTTTTATAGTAGTTTTATTCAGTTTACATTTGAAATAATGTATTTTTGAATTTTATTTGTTACAAAAATAAATTACTGGTAGATGTCTGATTACCTGATATTATCGGATCCAACTATTACACATAACTTACCATTTAAGTACTTTGACACAGATAAACTCTAACTAGATGGAATCTGTGTTGATATAATATTCTATTATATAATAGTTATGCCAAGGAAAAATTGGATAATTTAGTTACTTTAAAAGCAAGTTAAATGCAAGTTTTTGATTGTTGAATCTAGATAGCCATAGTCTAGGAATAATGTTGAAATGAAATGAAGCACACCATTTTCATTGTGGTGTATTTAATTTCATTTATTCATATTAAGTGATTATATTAGAAAATAGTATAATTTTTGAAGATAGAATGCTATGAACTTATTCATTTCAGCAGTTGAGTTGTTAAAAAATAGATGCTTTAAGCTTATGATAATAAATTAGGTAAGATTAACTGATTAATTTAAGATAGTAAATATTTAGAGCATTTGTTTTAGTTAATTAATATGTATTTATTTATTTTAATTATACTATCATTTTTAGGTAGTTTTGGATCAACAAATACTGGCTTATTTGGTCAAAATACTCAACAACAAAGTAACAGTTTATTTGGAAAACCTGTTGGATTCGGTGTTCCAACATCATCATCATCTGGCTCTTTTAATTTTGGGACAAGTGCTGGAACATCTTTATTTGGACAGAATAATCAGCAGAAAGTAATTTTATTTTAATTTTTAATTAATTTTAAATTGAATGTATATTTTAGTTACTGATTAGGGGCTGTAAAATATAAGTCAGCTCTAAATACATTTAGTTATGTATGTTATCAATCAAAATAAACATAATTAAACTATAGTTTTGGATCATGGAATTACTGATAACATTCCTATACATCTGAAGACTCAAGATTAGGGAATTCTCAAGAATTTTCTAATTTGAATATATATATTTTGCATTTGAAGTTCCTACAGAAGTTACAAGAATTCTAGTATAAAATTTGACATAAAATTTGTTAAAAATACTATAAAGAAATAATTTTTATTTTAAAACAAAGTATATAGGTTAACTTTAGTGTAAAAGTAATATATTAAGTAGTTTGGAATTGAATACAAAATAATTCTTGGTTTAGATATTTATTTATTTCATTTTTTGGTGGTCCAACTCTGACATTGTGCTTCATGATTTTTTACAAGTCTGATACTTAAGTTGTAATTAATTTATAATAAGTTTTTAAATTATATTTTAAAAATCTAACAGAATTTTTGATGAAAATTAAAACAAAGTGAAAGTATTTAAAATAATACACAAATTAATGGAAAAATTAAAAATATTCAGGTGTATTTAAATTAATCATCCAATAAACATTGCGACATTCTATAAAGCATCAAGGACCAAGTTTTCATGTCTCATGTTGGATTTATATAATATATCTAAAATATTTGATTTTTATGCAGTTTGAATTTTTTTTTGGTAATATACATAACATTCTCTTTTAGGTGCACTACTACATTTTTTTGTATGAGTCTGTTTCTACTCAAACATTTCATATCAATAAGGTCAATATTGCTTTGTACATATTGACCTTATGCACATGCATATACTCAAACACTAAATAAATTTTACATAAATTAGATTTATGTAAAATTTATTGGTTGAAAGATTTACTAGAAAAATTTTCAAGACATTTAATTAAAATTTCATAAATGTTTTTGAAATTTAACATTTATTTTTGTTTTAGTCATTATTTGGGCAGCCTACGAGTTCTGGTTTATTTGGAACAACCACTACAACCCAGCCATCAACAGCATTTGGAACTGGAAACACATTTGGATCACCATTTGGAAATCCTACACAACAATCAGTCAGTTATGAATTTATATTATTATTTGAATAGTAATATAAGTAATTATTGGCTATGTAAATTATATTTTTCTGTTAGAAAAAGAGTAACTTGAAAAATATAATTTGAGTTAAAACATAACCTATCCCATGTTGAAATCTTTCTCCAATGCATGTTGCTTTACGTTGAATTTTTGTTGATGTTAAGCCTAACGAAAATTACACGTTTTAGAAAAAATAATCATGGCTATTGTATCATCCAAAATTATTTTTTTATTTTGCACAAACAAAATAGACATGTTGAAAAATGTAAAAACAAAAACATTATATTTTAGAAGTTAGTTTTAATATAAAAATTATGATGACTAGTGACATCTAGTGTGAAAAACATTCCAATGCAGAAATGAGATATCTTGGGTCCACTGATAAAGGTCATGTTTCGACCCAAGATATTTTGGGAATACCACAGAACAGGTTAAATTAACAGTTTTAGTTGAAAATATTTTTAGTTTAAGAAATATACATAAGATATAGAGAGAAATGATGTGTATTTTTATTGTTATTGGGCTGCAATTTGAAAAATTTGTCGACCTATAAATGTCCACTTTCATTTATCTGCTTTTTTTTCCCTTAATCTCAAGAACAGTGTTAGATAAATGAAATTTAAGATCAGATATGGAGTTCTTATATAGTTAATCAGGGTCTCCTGCCCTTAACTATATAAGAACTTTTGATGCAAATCAGAAGTCATGTTATTTCAGTTCAAAAACTTCCCTGAAAGGAGCTAGATAAATGAATGGTACAACTCCATTGCTAATGGAAAAGTATGATGTACAGGGGCAAGACACTACAGTACTACTAATTTGAGGTGGAGAATATACATTTTAAATAAAAAAAAATTAAAAATATGATTAAAAATTGCAGCCCAGCATTGTGATGATGTCACAATAAATAATTGCTGATTGTTAAGTATAAAATATATGAAAGAGTTTCAATTAGTCCAAAAATAGATACATACATAGTGTTCACAATTTAAAGTTTACATTTCAAAAAGATATAACATCATTCTGCTGATTAATTCTCAACTTATATCTTTTAAAATATGAACTTTAATTATGAACACCCTATAAATTTGTTTCTTTATATATTTACTGATTAATAAGATTATATCTTTAACATAATGTACATTCCTTAAATTGGTGCTTAACCTGAGAGAGAAAAAAGTTCAGCCTTAATCAGCAAATTTATCATATTTACTCGTGTATAAGACGATCTTGCATATAGGATGAGGTGTGACTTTAAAGATCAAAATAAAGAAACAGATTTATTAATACAATTCTAATTTTATTTCATCTAATCACAAATAAAATATCAAATGCACGTAAATGCACACATTGTCCCACAAAAATTACTGGCATTTTTGGAGCTGCCATCAGAATTTTTGGGTACTGGCATCAGAATTTGGAGAAACTCATAAGTGTGGATTTCACTGTTAAGAATTGACAAAAAAGTTTCCAATTACATGGACAAATTATGTTGTTGATTTTACAAGTTTTTTTCCTTAAAGATATTTTAATCTTTAAGGAAAAAAAACTTGTAAAATCAACAACATAATTTGTCCATGTAATTGGAAACTTTTTTGTCAATTCTTAACAGTGAAATCCACACTTATGAGTTTCTCCAAATTCTAATTTCCGGATAATTATCTGTTTTCACATGGGAATGGATTAAAACTTATATTGTGTTCCGTGTGATTTTGCAATTTCAATTTGGAATTCAATTCAGAAGCTTTGCCTTTCCTATTGCTATTCATCTTTATTCCTACAATACACAAAAACGATTCAAACGACCCAGATAAAATACTTTTGTTTTTGAACACCATAGGGTGAGCAACCGGTAAGAAATGCAGATGCAGGGGTCACAAAAATTATTGCAAAAACCTAAAGACTCCTTTGCTCACGCATTTAGGATGACTTAGGTTTTTGAAGCAGTGAAAAATGAATAAAAACCTTATCTTATATGTGAGTAAATATGGTATTTAATTTATCAAATGTTTTCAGCTATCTCTGCAGTCATCATCATGATCTCTTAATGGAATGTTTGAACATTACATATGCCAATTAAATTACAATGTTCAAATTATGTTGAAACATTGTAAATTGTGTCATTTTTAGAAAATTAATATAATGCATCATAAAACTGAAGCAGCTAAGTTTACAACTTGTAGTTTACATTGTGCATGTATAAAATATATGTTGTATATAATAAAACAATTTTTTTCCATCTTTAGCATAATTATAAAGATTTTTATATTTCTTACTTGGCAGAATCAAATTAATCTTTCAAATATAATTTTAAAATAAAATAGAAATATATGTGACTTAATGTCATATAAATATAAAAATTTAACATAAGATAAATTAATTATCTATATTTCATTTCCTTTCATTTAAAAGTCCATATTTCATTTTCTTTAATTGTTTTTGAAATATTCATACGTGGAAGTGCCTAGATCTGATCATCCATCTCTCTTCTGAATTGTTATAAAAATAAACATAAAACATGAGTAATTACATTGTATTAATAGTTTTATGTAACAATGGATTTTGAAAATTTTTCCACTTTTTTTAAAATTAGAGAATGATGTTCTTTCACCATGATTAAAAATGCCAGCTTCACTTTGAATAGAGGTCATTTTTAATCATTCTGCTTTTATTTTGAAGTTTTTATTGGCAGATTACTTTTTTATCTGGGCTGATAATATTTGAATATTAAATATCAAGCTCATTCTTTTATTTTATATATTTAAAGTTTTCATTTATAAAATTTATCTCAAAATCATCTCATTAAAATTAACATATTGGCTTTGAATGTAGACTACTTGCTTTCTTTTCAATGTATAATGTAATTAATTACATTAATAATGTTCATTTATATTGCATTATTTTTATATAATATGAATTGTATATTTTAGACTGGATTATTTGGAAGTAAACCTGCAGGCTTTGGCACTACTGGCACAACAACAGCAACAAGTACATTCAATTTTGGATCTGCAACTAGTAACACAGGCGCAGGATTATTTGGACAAAAACCAGCAGGTACTGCTTTTGGTACTTCAGCTACATTTGGATCTGCAGCTCCAGCATTTGGTAAGATGTTATTTTTATTTAGAATATGAATAATAATGTAAAAATATTTTCTTTTAGATAATATGAATCTTTGTAAAAATCAAAAAGGAAAATTAAAAATATATAATAAAGTTTTTTGAAATAAGACAACNTTTAAAAGTCCATATTTCATTTTCTTTAATTGTTTTTGAAATATTCATACGTGGAAGTGCCTAGATCTGATCATCCATCTCTCTTCTGAATTGTTATAAAAATAAACATAAAACATGAGTAATTACATTGCATTAATGTTTTATGTAACAATGGATTTTGAAAATTTTTCCACTTTTTTTAAAATTAGAGAATGATGTTCTTTCACCATGATTAAAAATGCCAGCTTCACTTTGAATAGAGGTCATTTTTAATCATTCTGCTTTTATTTTGAAGTTTTTATTGGCAGATTACTTTTTTATCTGGGCTGATAATATTTGAATATTAAATATCAAGCTCATTCTTTTATTTTATATATTTAAAGTTTTCATTTATAAAATTTATCTCAAAATCATCTCATTAAAATTAACATATTGGCTTTGAATGTAGACTACTTGCTTTCTTTTCAATGTATAATGTAATTAATTACATTAATAATGTTCATTTATATTGCATTATTTTTATATAATATGAATTGTATATTTTAGACTGGATTATTTGGAAGTAAACCTGCAGGCTTTGGCACTACTGGCACAACAACAGCAACAAGTACATTCAATTTTGGATCTGCAACTAGTAACACAGGCGCAGGATTATTTGGACAAAAACCAGCAGGTACTGCTTTTGGTACTTCAGCTACATTTGGATCTGCAGCTCCAGCATTTGGTAAGATGTTATTTTTATTTAGAATATGAATAATAATGTAAAAATATTTTCTTTTAGATAATATGAATCTTTGTAAAAATCAAAAAGGAAAATTAAAAATATATAATAAAGTTTTTTGAAATAAGACAACATTAAAATATAGAATGCATTTAGAATTTAGTGATTCTGGTAATAGAGAGATGAAAAAGTATTAATATAATAAAATATACAACTTTTTGAGAAATTAAGTTAGAAAGGCACAATAAAATATTTTTTATTAAATGAAATTAACTGTAGAATCTGAATAATTGCAGGTTATATCAGTGATCATTTTTCATTGTATAAATTTTATATATAATAATATGCATGATACATATTTTTATTGTATAAAATAAAATATGTAAATGGTATTGACTGCATGTTCATGATTTTGACTGATTTTGATTTTGTCATTTATAAATGTGAATGAATGAATATTGATGATTTATTAAATTATTATTTTGATAGATTTGTAATTGATATTTCTTGTTTATTTTATCTAATTAATTCGTATAAAAACATTTTTAAAATGTAAAAATGCATTCAGTACATTATGAAAAAGAATATTCATTGATTAAGATATGTATTTATTTAAAAAAAAATTTTTTTAAAGGTGGATTTGGAGCAACACAACCTGGAACTGCAACTGGATTATTTGGACAGAATAAGCAAACTACAGGCTTTAATACTGGGAGTGGCACAACGTTTGGAACAAATTTGGGAACTAGTTTTGGTACTTCTTTTGCACCAACTCTTGGTGCAAACACTGGAACAAGTTTATTTGGAAACACAGCAGTTTCAAAACCAACTGGGTTTTCATTTGGAAATAATCCTAGTACAGGATTTTGTAAGTAATATTATTTTAATGTAATAAATTAGTATGATTTCTTTAATTACCATACCACTATTAATGAAATGTTTGGATAGAATCTGATATTTTAAAGCATTTTGGTTTGTTTCTCAATGGTTTAACCAATAATTTTATTTTCCTCAGGAAAAAAATTTATTAAGTTTTTGCTTATGTGAATTTTAAATATTATATAAAAAATGAATTGCTAATTTTAAAGTATATAAAATTTATTTTGTTGTTATTTAAATTGTAATTTTATATGTACTATATACTTTATAGCATTTGGTCAACCAGGAATTGGTGCTGGCTCGTTTGGTTTTGGCAATAACCTCACATCAACAATTGGAAGGTAAAATTTTTAATATATATTATATGTATATTAAAGGATATTTATGATATACCATTCTTGGTTTTTTATTATATTCAACATGTAATTGTTGTATTATTTTATCGCATAAAATTTTCTGTATACTACAATTGTAAACTTTGTGTGATCAAGTATAAATAACAAGGATTAAATAATAATTTTTTAAAAATGTATGTAATCATCAAAAGGTTGCGAATTTTTACTTTTAAACATTATTTGATAGCACAGTTGAATTATAAGTATGTTAGATGATTTCAGAAGTAAATTCTGTTTTATTTTCCATCACCTAATGTTAAGTAATAAAATGAATAAAGTACAAAAGAAATTTTAAATATCATATTTACTTTTACATATTGGATTTTGTATATTTCTGTGTTGTAACAGTTGTTAATACAAATAAATATATGTATAATATAATATATTATTGCAAATGGCAATCTGTTTAATTATGATATAAGACAGAAGTGATATGACATGGTATATATTTATATTTATATGACAATTTTATCGATATAAATATTTATTTTTCCATAAATAAAGTCTTATTAAATTGTTCCAGTATTTTATTATTTTTAAGAATTTCTTTTAAAATTAATGATATGATTTTTTTTAAACAGTGATCCTAATGCAATGGCATATAATCAACAACAATTACAAACACAACAACAGATACTGGCTCTTACAACAAATCCATTTGGTGATTCTCCATTATTTAGAAATGTTATAAAGGTAAGAATAAAAATTGTTTTTGTTTTTTTAAATTTACACTTGTAATTTAGATTTATGGAATTTTGTAATTTATACTTCATTATTTTGCATTAAAATTATTGGAAATATGATTATATTAGAATGAATAATTTAATTGAGATATCTCTGATTAATTATTTATTTAAATATTCAGTGATGTCAATATTTTTAAACTTAAAACCAAAACCGAAATCAAAATGGCAGCAACGGAACATTTTTTTCTTTTAATGAGTTGCCAATTCAGCTAATTTTTTTGCTAGATTTAGTGGATTTATGAACAATCTAGCTAAAAGAATAAAAACAATTTTAATGGAAACAATATGATTTGGTTATTTTTATTAATGTTTAGCTGTAAATTTGAATTTTGAGTTGGCAACACTACTTTTAATTAATATGTATGCAGATGTGGATTGGATGTCGCTTGAATATTTTACGTAGTGTTGTGACAAAAGTAGTCTTACACATTGCTATCTGATCTGGTTCATCTGTCTTTTAATATTATTATTCAAGGTTTGTGTTTTTCTACATTCTTAAATTATAATGGCACGGAAACAAACAAGGTTTAATCTCCAATGGCTAGATCCAGCTATTCATCCAGAATTCAAATCCTGATTAGGAACTGTAAAAGATGATGATACAAAAGCATTTTGCTGCATTTATTGTAAAGTTTTCTCATTAAGTAATATGGGAAAACATGCATTAGTATCACATGCAAATAGTTCCAGTCATGTTGAAATATAATAAAAAGATTGAAGTTGGAAGAAACTTCACTGATGAGGGGTTTTTAACTCCAACAAATTTAAACTCTTCTAATAGTCAACAAAATGTGTGTGAAACAGCTTCTGTTGTGGAAGATAGATGTAAGGTCATCAGTCTCTCACCAAATCAACATTTCTTAGCAACACATTGACACCTTTTGTGATAAAAGATGATGTAATAAAAGCAGAGATAACTTGGACATTGGCAGTTGTAAAGAAAAAGATGTCACTCAATTCATATTAAAAAACATTTATTAACAACAAAACTCTGATATTAAAAACATTTTCAAAAAAATGTTTCCTGACAGTGCTATAGCCACACAATTTCAATTGGGTCCAGATAAAGCTTCCTATATAATAAATTATGGCATAGCCCATTATTTCAGAGAAAAATTGATTGATGATGTTACAAGTTGTGATAATATTACTATCTCCTTTGACGAATCACTAAACAAAGTTGCTCAAGGAACTCAAATAGATCTTGTGATAAAATACTGGGACAAGAGTAAAGATAAGGTTATGACCAGATATTTAAATAGTGTCTTTGTGGATCATAGTACAGCAGATGATCTTCTCTCTGCATTTCTCAATGGCCTTTCAGACATTCATCTTGATCTAGCAAAAACTCTTCATATCTGTATGGACAGACCAAATGAAAACATAAGTTTTTTGAATAAATTAGAAGATCAAATGGAGACACAGAATGTTGGTAAATCATTTGTGAGAATGGAACATGTAGTTTACATGTAGTCCATGGTGCTGTAAAAGCTGGTTTTAAAGTAGTAGATTAGTAGATTGAAATTTGTTACCACTGCTATGGAATTTGTACTATTTTCTAAAAGACTTACCCACTCAGCATGCTGAAGCAGATTATTTCCCAAAAAGTTTGGTTCAACAAGATAGTTGAAGAATGAAGAGTGCTTAGAACGTGCAGCAGAATATCTGTGAATCTGTGAAGACATACATAAAAAAAACAGTACAAAGTTGAAAGACAGTAAGGTGGCTACATTCTTGAGGCAGGCACTCAATGATTCCTTTATTAAAGTTAAACTTTTATTTTTTCAGTCAATATGTACACAAAGTGAGAGCTTTCTCACCCAATTTCAGAGCAACAAACCTCTTGCACCCTATCTTTATAAAGCAGTTGTTCAATTATTAATGAACCTGATGAGAAAGTTTGTGAAAAATGACAGGGTCACTGACAAGCAGTTTCTAAAAGTTGGTTTAAATGATAATGAAAACTTGGTACATCTGAAGAATTTGGATATTGGTTTTTGAGCAAAAAAAGGTTTTAAAAGAATTGAAAGTAAGTGACAAAAATATTCTGTGTTTTCTAAGAGATTGTCGAAATGTGCTGAAAGTGATGACACAAAAGATTATTGAGAAGGGACCTGTCAAGTACAAATGTGTGAAGGCTTTGAGCAGATTAGACCCAGAAATTATTAAAATGCAGTCAAATGTTGGAAAATTGTATTTCAATGTTTTACTGGAGGTTCTACATGATACAAACAGGATTGATGAGAAATGTGCTGTTAAAGCAAAAGAACAGTATGATATACTCTGAAATAAAGTGTCCATAAACACTATTCTACAAAGTTTGAGGACTTCATATCTGAAAGGAGTGATGATGATGGTCTGGACAGATTTTATTGTGAAATTATGATGGATGATAGGCTACTGCAAGATATATGGTCTATTATCAAAATTTCTCTTTCTTTCTCACATGGGAATGCAAGTGTTGAGAGTGGTTTCTCAGTTAACAAATTGCTGTTGAGAGAAAATCTTAAGGAAGAAAGTTTAATTGCTCAATGCTTAGTTTATGATCAGTACCATGCAGTACCATGCAGGTGGTATTGATGAAATAATATAGACCAGAAAATGTTAACAGTCAGAGGATCTAGACAGCTATATATTGCATCTCTGCAACAGAAAAAATATTCAGAAGCAGCAGGCATTGAGGGCTGAAGAAAAAAGAAAATTTACACAACTTAAGGATTTAAAACAACACAAGCAAATGTTAAGAAAAGATCACAAAAAAGAAGAAAAAGAGATTGAAATAAAAATAAATACACTCGAGGAGAAAAAGCTAAAACTACATTAATATAATAGTTAATATAATAGTTCTTGTGTTTTGTCAATTGTAATTAATTTTTTATTTTGTAATTATGTGTATTTTGATTTATTTTTTCAGTTTATAAAATTTGTTTTTGATTCTGTTTACCAATGGAACAAAAAGACTTAATTATTTGGATTAAAATTCATTCATTACATGCATTTTGCGAAATTTAAAGATTTTTTGAGAATTTTTAAGTAAGATGTAAACAAATAAATTGCTACTTAGTTCAACTTTTACAGGATTTGTCATATTTTCACTTTTCTATTTGAATTAACATTATTCTTTAATTGTTAATTAAGTATAATTTTAATTTAAAGTAATCTCAATTTTATTATTATTAAATAACAAAAACAAGCTATTGGTAATTATTATTAGTATTTTTATTGTAATTGTAACTTTCACATTATTCTGTATAATTGTACCTTACGAAAGTTTTTATTTAAAATTTTTTAATATATATTAAAAAAAAATTATTTATATTTTATGAAGGATAATAATAAAAGAGAAGAAATATTAAAACCAACAAATCCTGCAGCACAAAAAGCAGTAATGGCATCAAATCAATATAAAGTTTCACCTGTACCTATTGGCAAAGTGAAACCAAAACCAATACAAGCAGTTGCAGTTGGGAAAGTAAGTTATCTGCAATCATTATATTGTGAAATAGAAATGAATAAATGTTAAAAATATATAATTTATATACAAATTGAACTGTATGTTTTTTTTTTTATAATAACCAGAAAAATAAAATCTTAGCCATTATTAATTTGTAAGAAAATTAAAAGTTCAAATTAAAAGAAAATAATAACTGATATAATGGAGATTTATAATGAAATTTTTAATTAATTAAAAGTCATGAGGCTATCTAATAATTTTTTATAGAAATTATGACATCATTAAGTTAGTGGATTAAAATTATAAGCTAATACTTTTAGATTTAAGTTAAATTTTGTCTGTTTTCTATTGAATTGTATATTTAAACAATTAATAAAACATATACTATATCTTTAAAAGTTCATTATGAATAAGTTTAAATATATCATATGTAATAAATTTAATCTGGAACCATTTTTTCAGGTTTCCCTGTTTGATGATTTAGATGATGGTGAAAGTACATTAGAAACCTTTATTCCTCGACGTAGTGTTAAAAAATTACAATTACAACCAGTATCTCTTGATTTAAATGAAGTCAACTCTAATTCAAAAGAACATAGTGAACTTACTGAACCAATATTAACTCCAGTTGATAAGAATAAATCACCTCTTACTGTTCAGTTATCAAAAGATCCTGTTAATAGGTCAGTAAATGTTTTTTTATTGTGTATTTTAGATGCAGAAATTTTTTATAATTTGCTAATTTCATTTATTATTTATTTTGCAAAAGGTGTAAAGAACAGAATTCAGCAGAAACTTTCAAAGAAAATCCAAACAGTAATCAGAAAGAGACTAAAAGTATTAATGAATATTATATTAATCCTGTTGCAAAACCAGTTGCAGAACATGCTTGTTTCAAGTGAGTCATATTCAATAATAAATTTAATATTTAAAAGTTTTTATAATATGTAATAAAATAGTCAGATGTTTTCTTTAAAGTAAATGTGTGTAGCAGTATTATTTGTAAATATGTAATCTTAATATTCATTCTTCCATATTGCTTTTTGCTATTTGATTTCTGTATGAAAAATGATAAATTTATATGGAAATCTAAAAAATATTATTTCATCTGTTTTTGATGGAAAACGTTTTTATTTTTAAGATATATGATGTAATCATGGGCTACTTTACTTCAAAAGTAAGATTTATCCAATAAAAATTTTTTAAAAAAGAGAAGAAATCATTTCTTCTATTTTTTTCTTTTAAAAATATTTTTGTATATAAAACTGTTAAAAAGGAGTTAGTTTATGCATTGTTTATAAATAATATCAAATATATAGTTTCTACACAGATATATAGCAAATTAAAAAAATAAATCTTTATTGTTAACACATTACAAAGAAGTGAAAGAGAATGAATAGTGACTCTCTGTAATCCTTTACTGTTTTAGTATACTATTTGTTGTATTTTTAATGTAATAAATAGTATTATATTGATACACTACAGTTTGTAGTATTAATATCTATATTTAATATTTTATTTCACATTTAACCCCTAAACTTTTAAATTTTTAGTAATTTTTAGTAAAACCTGTGTATACCAGACTTGCAGGGTACCAAATATTTTTTCCAATCTGGCAGGAGTTTTTTTAACATAGAAAATTGCTCTGTTTTGAAGAATTTTTCCCATTTAGGCTGGTTTCCATTTTATTTGGGTTCCATTTTGGAAAGGTGTGCTGTATCTATATATATTTAGAAGGGCCAGATCAATATTACAAGCGTTCTGACTTAAAAGCTCTTGAACATTTTAATTTTACCAGGATTGGATGTAATAACAGGTTTAGGCATTGCCTCAGTGGCATCTTTCCTAATAAACTCTTCTTAAAGTTACTTTGAATGTTTTATCATAAAAACAAAAATGTGCAAGGCGCAATATGTCGTAAATTGTAAAGGGTTAACAGTAGAAATTTTTATTCCTTTTATTAATTTCATGTACAGTACAATAGAATAGCAGATGCACTGCTTGCCTCATTTTATTATTTTTCGCCAACCAGCACTGCATTTTAGTTATATTAAGCAATAATAATAATAATAATGCATTATTAATTTTATGGTACAATCTGATGGTCTGTCAAGATGGAAAAATATCCATTTATCTTAAAATTCTCAAATGTTTAAAATTTCCTTAAATTTCAAAAAAGAAAGGAAAAAAACAATTCTTGTTTGTAAAATTCCCAATACCTAAAGAGATATGTATAGATTTGGTAACTCTACTCTAAAAAGATTAATGAAATTGGCACTATCAAACAATAAATTGTGGTGGTAATCTTTTTTATTGCAAGAGTACTTTGGAATACAAAAATTTATAATGAATTTATGTATGCTTTATGTTGAATTTTCTATAGAAAAATTCAATATAAAATAGCGATCTAATTAATCCATTAGATTCATTAGAGTATTACAGATTGCATTTCATGTGGTTGATTTAATTTTGAAAGGGTACATATCTAATTAAGTCATTTAAACTGTAAACTGTATGCATAAATATGTATTTAAAAAAATTTTAGATGTGAAATTTTCTGTTAATAATAATAATAATAATAATAATAATCTTTATTTGACATAGAAGGCTTTTGCCTGTTACAAGGGCTTTTTATTTTAGAAAACGCATATTAATATCTCATATAATAATGTCTTAACAGCATTGATATATTCTATTCACTGATCTATAAAATTATATTAATATTTTGTTACAATTATCATTTAATAAATAGTTTAACATAGTTATATAACATATAAATCATGTTAACATTAGCTCTGTCAAAAGTCTTATACATTTCCATCTCACTAGTACAGTTAGCCAGCGGCCCAATCTGGAGCCTTTGTAGTTTATCCTTTTCATTACAGTATTCACATATAATATGAATTTTAGATAAATTTTTGGTACAAATTGGACATTTAGATTGGATGTAGTCTATATATTTGTCATTTATAATTATTCCATTTTTATTTAATCTAATCTGTATAAGAAACTTTTTGATGTTAAAAGCTATATTTGTCAATATATAGTTGTTAAATTTCATTGTTAAAAAGTTAATAAATAATTATTTATTAATTTAAAGAACTTTTTTTATTATAATATTCTTAAGTTTAATTTAAAATCAGATTTTTAAATTTACTTGGTTGTTGATTCGTGTAGTGATACAAAAGAATAATAATAACAAATAATTGTTATTTTATTAACATAAAGTAACATTTAACATAAATAAAAATTGTATATTTTACTTTATTGATATGAATTTTTATTAATCTTTAAGTTATTATTTTCATTATATTTTTAAATATAATTATGGATAAATTATTTTTAAATTCTACATTATTCCTTGTAATCTATTAACTTCTCAGATTTAAGTTACTAACAACTAGATTTAAGAATCCTTAAATTATAATTTTATATTTTGAATGAGAAAAGAATTTTAATGACAGCTTTTTTAGATTCAATTGTATTTTATTTCATATAATATGAACAATATTAAAGATATTTTTTGATAAACTAAAGTATTTTAAGTTTAATATATATTTTTTTGCCAGTGCATTAATTTCTTATTATTATAACTTGTGATGATTATTATTTTTTTCTTTTATACTTTAAGGAATTCAAATGCCTTAGATGATACATTTGCTGAATTACGCACCAAAAGTCAAAATACCAGAAATCCTGATCGTGCTCTAGGATTATCAAATTGTTCAGAAAATGGTGATAGTGAAAAAGAAACTACTAATATATTAAATTCAGATAATGATGAAAGCCACGATATTTATGATTCACAATCCGGTCATCCTGCTGGAATCATTTTAAGAAGAGCTGGCTATTACACTATACCTCCTCTTCAAGAATTGGCCACTTTGGTTGATGAAAATGGTAATTGCATTGTTGAAAACTTTACCATAGGTCGTGAAGGATATGGAAGTGTTTTCTTTCCTGGTGAAACTAATGTTGCTGGCCTTAACTTGGATGAAATTGGTAAGTAATTTCAAACATATTTTTAAACAAAGTAATACTCTAAATAATGTGGAAATTAATTTATCAGTAAAATTTTAATGTGAATAAATACTTTTCAATAAAATTTCTTGTAATCATATGGAATTCTAAATCAAGTTACAAAATTTAGAATTAAGAAAAAGGATTTCGAAATGATAAAAAATATTATTTTTGTAAACAGAAATTTTTGATAACATGATAATGGAAATTATATGTTTTATTGCAATTAATATAATAAGTTTAGTAATCATTAAAACTGCCATTATGTATTAAATTTAATAGTTACATTAATTTTTAATTAAATTGATCTTTTCTTTCAGAATAGTCTAAATTGTTAAATGTAATTATTAAATTTAGTACAAGATGACTACTTAATTGTATATCTTAAGTCAAAATTATTTTATATTTATTACATTAGCCAAGTTTTGGCCTGAAAGTTAATCTGATATTATCTGATTAATCTGATTACTGTTACAATAATATAACATTGATAGAGTAAAAATATTGTTAGATTAATATAAATGTATCTATAATAAAACTGTGCAGATTTATTAAAAATAAAATTTGCTCATAAACATATGTTCAATTGAACTAAGATTTTTATGGCAATTATGGCAAAAATCTGATTTTTTTTTCTTATAGAATAGTAATATTTTTTTGATTATTTATTTTTCTATTCCAGTTCATTTTAGAAGAAAAGAAATAACTATCTATCCTGATGATGATAATAAACCCCCCGTTGGAGAAGGTCTTAATAGACAAGCTCAGATTACTCTTGATTGTGTTTGGCCTGTTGATAAAACTACTCATGAGCCAATTAAAGTATATAAAATTTAAATCTGTATTACATATAATAATTGATTTATTTTAAATAATAGAAGAACATATTTACATTTATTAATAGGATACTGAGAGATTAAAACAAATGGGATATGAAGAAAAAATTGAGAGAGCTACGCTTAAACTGGGAGCTAAATTTATGGAATATCGACCTGAAACTGGATCATGGGTATTTCAAGTAAGTAATTTTGAAATAATATCTTATTTAAATATTTCGAATAGTTAAGTAAATAAAACAAAAAGCCAAATACAGTATGATAATATGGATAGCTATATTGTTTTATGTTTCATTATACAGTCAAACAAATGATGGTACTAAATCAAAGTTTATCATCAGAGATAATTGTCACTAAATTGAGTGTGGTACTATCAAAAATATCTCAGACTAATACAAATTACATATAATAATGAGGTCTAAACACAAGTTTTCAGTTTGAGAGTAATTTGATTCAGTATTAAATGTTGCTTTCAATGCAAAGTAGTGTATTTAGTAATTCATAGATAAAGATGGGCTCTCTACTAGTTATGGGGAAGTCAATCCATGAATACTCAATGATGCTTTACAAGGCTGTAGCACTATTTAGGAGAGCATTATATTGAGGTTTGATTGTACATATTATTTTTTTTTTAATAATAAATATGCATAGTGTTTATTAAATCTTGCAAAATAGGAGAAAGTTAAAATTAGGAAAATTGTATTTATTTCTTCATGATCAGTGAATGAGCAAAAATATCTCTCTCTCAAAAGAAAATAATAATCTATGATTATAGATGTTTTTGGTATCTATCAATTTCTACAAAGTTTTAATGTTTATTTTTTTACAGCAAATGAATAAATAATCATAATGTATAATGGATATATAAGATGAAAACATTAATTTCTTATGAAAAATAATACTAAAAGAGGAAATATAGAAAATCTTTGTCATTTAGAATGTCATAAGCATGCTTAAATTAAGTAGTGCATTATAAATTTGATACTTTGTATGTATGTTAAATTTGTTATATGTGTATAAGGAGTATTCACAATGGAAATTTATTTTTGCTTTTAAAGAGCTGTATTCTATAGAAGTTATGAATCATGAACACACGTTTTGAAAGAACAATTTGCAATTCTTATTTTTGTTGGATCACTTTATTAGTTAACATTATTGTTTTTGAAGAATTCTGTCCACTAGTTTTTGGATCACAAAATGACTCTGACAAATTTCTGTAATTTGTTAATGTTGTTCTGAGGAAGCTTTCCATTAAACTGTTGATTTTGGACAGTTTAATGGAAACATTTTAATGCAGTGTTTCGCAACCAGTGTGCCCTCACTAGGTGAAAGGTATGACATGAACTTTTACATATTCTATTAATTTCAAGTTTTATTTATATATTTTTATCACAGTTGCTGTGTTTCTTATGCTTGTATTTCAAGTATTATGAAATAAGACAATGTTTGTTTATTCTTTATTACAAGCCACACATTTTTTATATATTTTAAGAAATTAAATGTAAAATAAATTTGCTCACGGGTGTTGATGTCTGTTTAATAATAATAGGTTAGTGGCATTACGTAATTCTATTAATAGTATCATATCATATGCTTTTGAGGGGAATAACATTTTGGTTTGCCGTGTTAAGACATGTCAAGTCATGGGTGCGCGGCAAGTAGAAAAAGGTTGCAGAACACTGGTTTAATGGAATGAAAATAAAATTGGTAAATGCAATACTTTTGTAACTTTTAAGAAAGATGCAAAAGCCAATATATTGAGAAGAAGTAAAGATTGTGAATACCCCTATCTATTTAATATGCGTTTATATATAAATATAATCTTATCTTATTAGTTTTATAACAATAAATAAAAATAACAAAAAGAAATATTTTTCTTTTTTTTTTTGAAGGTGAATCATTTTTCAACGTATGGATTAGAAAATTTTATTGATGAAGATTTTATTAAAACAACTCAATGTCCTAAAATTTCTAACCAGATTGGAATTAAAGAATTAAGTTCCTTGTCAAATCAGGTATTTTCAAGAAATTTAAGCGCAAGAAATTTTAATTTGTGTTTACCAAATTCAAAGACTTTCAAGGATTCTCGAACTGTGGTTTCCTGACTGTGAGAAAATAATAAAAGTGTTGCTAAATTCCAAATATTATATAAAATATAAATCAGATCTTGTTTATATTTTGTATCATCCTTAAGGATTTAAACAATCTAAATAATTAATGCTGAACAACTAATTATTTAGATTTTATTAAAATTGACTAACAGTTTTAGCAATTTTTGTATATAAAGACTGTATTGAAAAGAGAAATGTAATAAAATTAATATTGTTATTAATAATTGTGTAGATCTGTCTTATTTTAAAATTATGATTTTACAAAGTTTGAGAATTCTTATTTAAATAGTATGTTATGCTATTAGTTTATAATATAGGTGATTATAGCATGAATGGTAGTTTGGCACACAAGCAGAGCAAGTGGGCCAATTTTCTATGAATGCCATAATCACTAACTATAAACAAATTGCCATATGGTATTTTGTGGTAGACTACATCTATAACACTATACTTATGGAAATCAAAATTATGTATAAACACAGTGTTTGTGTCAACTGTGCCATAAACACTGTGTTTATATATGATTTTGAGTTCCCATAAATATAGTGTTAAAAGTGTAGTCAACCACAAAAATTATTTCAGCTTTATAACTACAGTAGAGCATCATTTATCCGAAAGCATTCCAGTCGGCAAATTTAAATTTTCGCTTGTGCTGTGGCGCTGCAATCTTTGGCTATATCTTGGGCTACTCCAATATGTTTTTGTTGGTGTGTGTGATTTAGCTGGCAGCACTGACACTTTTGTTTGGTGTTTTTCTGAGGACTGTGTGTCGTGCTGAATTGAACGTTTTTGATACTAGATCATCTTCTAAAGTATATATTTTTTTGTTTTTATNTTTGGATATTGCCGACGACCCCTCTCATCCTTCGCCACTCGACCTGAGTAACCGATCCCCACCTCACGGGATCAAAAGAACAAAAAACACCATCCAGTGACAGAGTGGGCGATTTTCCACCAAACCATTGCCGAGAAAAGAGATACGACCTTGTCCTATCTCAGACTACCCACAAAGGATTTGGCGACAGTCTCCTCTCTATCGACATCAGCTTTTCGAGTATCATTTCAACCTCCACCAAAGCTTATCTATGCTTGTCGACATACACCAGCAATTGTTCAAATGTATAATAATATAACCCAGTGTTTTTCAACCTGTGGGTCGTGACCCCCTTGGGGGTCGCGAAGCCTTACACAGGGGGTCGTGGGTAAAAGAAAAAGACAAGTGTTTGTAGGTCCTACACTACATTAAAAAACTACAATTTCAGCAAGAATTACAGCCCTCCCCAGAAAATGATAGCGGAAAATGTGTTGAGCTGATCTGCAAAAAGAAATAAAAAGTAGAAACGTAGAAGCTGAAAATTCTGATCCTAAAAAGAAAAAAAAAAGGTCAACATCTTCTTGTGCCGAATGTTATAATTAAAGGAAGTTTCATACTTTATGTGTGTTAAGTTATTGTCGATTCTTCTGAAATTTTCACTTTAATCAACAATAATTTGTCTCAACAGAGAGAAAATTAAATACATAGTTTTTAAAATCACTGATATAGTTTTAATATGGCCCTAGGGGGGTCGCCAGAATTTTTTAACTTGTAAAGGGGTCGTGTATTCAAGAAGGTTGAAAAACACTGCATTAGGACATTATATTTTTGTAATTGAGAAATCAGTATTTTAATTTTCATTAAACAGTGCATTCTAACAAAATTTGAGATTTGTTTTTAAATGCTAGTAATTTCCTTCAATTTAACTAATTTAACAAATTTTGCACTAGTTCAAAAGTATTATAGATTAACACTGAGGACCAAATTTGCAGTAATTTTCCATAAAAAAGAAACAGAATTATGATCCAATGTTTTCCTATGGAGAGTTATCTTAAATCTGGGAAAAATAATATACTGTAAATAGTAGTTTTAATAGAAGTCTATAGTTTTGAAAATGTTTAAGTCTAGTAGGTTTCTAATAGGAATAATACTGTTTCTAAATTTTAGAATCAACAAAATTTTTCATGCATTGGATTCACAAGACAGTTTATTTTAGGAGTGAATAATTATATTATCCTTTTCAATATGCATATTTAGATTGAAATTTTGGACAGTATTATCAGTATTTATTGCATGAGACAAATTATATGTTTTAAAAAGTCTGATTGGAAGAAATGTAGTCAAACATTTGATAAAGGTTCAATAAATATGAAAAATATTAGTTTGTTCCATATAAATATTGTATGTTAATAAATAAAAATTAATATTACAACATGTCAAACATTTTCTCTTCTATATAATATCATATAGTTAAACCTCTAAATCTCGAATTTGAAGGAACCAAAAACTGGCCAGTTTAAGTTATGGTGCGAATTCTACATATGGAGTGTATGAAAAATAGAAACATTTTTATTTGCGCACAAAGTACAAAGCAGTAGAATAGGGATGCAATTCTGTGATTTATCGAAGTCCATGATATTTATTTGAATCATTATTAGAACACTATATATGAAGCTGTAGTGATGGTATAAATAAAAATTGTGAATTTAGGTATATCACAAAATTCTCTATGCAACATGGAATTTATCCAAAAGTCAAATTTTGCATAATACATTATATAAATTATTTACAGGAACATGTATGAGGTTAACATAGATTTTTATTACTGTGAAAGATTTTGTGAGTTCATAAAGTGCCAAAGACAAAATTCAAGATGGCTACTGTAAATGAAGAACTATTCCAAATAGAAATATGAATTTTGAGAAAATCTGTATTATGCAAGGGAAATTAAAAAACAAAACACAAACTTTTGCAACTATGGTGTCCCTACTCTGCATACTGTAATCAGAAAAAAAAACAGCCAGCATGAATCCACTAGGAAGAGATTATACCTTTTAAACTATTTGATGATGATACAGGAAAGCTAGATTTAGCAAAATTATGCTAAATTGGAACTCAGATGTTATTGGCTTTCTTTATTCAGCTGTATTAAAGCTACTTTACCAAATAATGTGCCAAAAGGATTCATGGAATTTAATAAACTTAGATTGGTCAGTTTCTGCTGAATTTGACTAGTTTGACTTAAGAAGGGACAATATTGACATTTCAATTTTTATCCTTTACTGTTAAAGATTCTTTGCACATTTTATAAATCTTAAAATGGTTTTCTTCCATTATCTTTGTACTTGGGAGAGATGGGAAAAAATATATATTATCACAGAACTGCTGTGCAATGTAAAAATTCCTTTTTTGAATGATTGAATTTATTTTATTGTAAACATTGCAAAGGAATAATATGGCATAGGCTATGCATATACTCTTGTAATGCTGGAAAGTTTTCTTTTGTTTCTACATAAATATGCCCATATATTTTTTCCTTTGTAAGGAAATTAGGTTGGTTGGATTCTGAAACTGAGCCAATAAAATATTGCACATAAGTGAACAATAATATTAAATGCAATACAACTGATCTTATTAAAAAATGAAGATAAGCATTGACAAATACATGAAAATTATTTTATTTTTAACAAATGATTTTAAATTTGTTTAAGTATTATAAAAGCTACTGAAATGTTTTCTTGCTGTGAGAAAGTCATTTCTTACAATTTTCAACACAGGTATTCCTTGATTAATGCACTTAGTTAATCCCACAATGCTACCAAATATGTCAAAATTGTGTTAATCAAATACAGTGTCTACATTAAACTTAGACAGCTGGTAAATCCTTGTTAATTAAAAATTCTACTGCATGTATAAAGGAATTGCCACAATTAATTTCACTATAAAAATATTAACTTGTACTGGAATTAGAAAGAATTAAGCAAAATTATCACCTTTTTAAATATTCCAGCAAATAATTTAATATCATAAAAACGTTTTTACGATATTAAATTATTTGCTGGAATATTTAAAAAGGTGATAATTTTGCTTAATTAATTTCACTCATTAAACAAGAGATATCTCAGTATAGTGCAGATCATCTGGCCAGTGACCATCTTTGCAGAAATAGATCAGCATTTTAACCAATTTTAATATTTATTGATACAAAAATAAGATATTTTGATTTATTCTATTTACAAAAATTTGTTATGTAGAATAAATATCACAATTTAATCTTTGTTAAATAGAGATATTTTTAAAATTTGCTGAAAGAGAAATTTGTAATATGTAGTGTATTATGTATATGTATATATATGTATGTATATATATGAGTCAAAGATTTATTGTTACAGTTTACAAAGAACACTGATTTTTCTCTTCTGTTAAATTTTTGACCACATTGCTTCGTAGGTCACAAATATTATATATACAATTTTTTCATATATTGGTTATCTTGACCATTAAATCAGACTTATTACATTTTCAGCAAATTTTATCAACCCTTTATTTACCCAATATGCATTTTGATCTATTTAGCTTTTTTAAATTGGTTTTTAAATAATATAATTGCAATCCTAAAAACAACACATGATAATTACACATGAACACTTTCATTAACTTAACTGTTAAATAGTTAAGATTTTAACTGTAGTTAAGTTTAAAATACAATTATAATATATAATTAGATTACTTAAATAATCATATTTCATAAACATATAGTTCTTGTATTTCTTATGGTTCATTTACAGTATTTGTTTTTTTTCTTTATTTGTTAAATTTTCCTCTTTTTGTTTACTTATCCATATCCTTTTTATGATCAAGATATCCATTTATATGAAAAAATTATTAACATAGGCAAGAAGCATAATAGTAGATTATGTATACGATTTTAGAATTATTTCATTATAATTAATACTAAATAATTTTCCTAAGATATCTAAATAAAAATGTAATGTGAGACCACATCATATAACAGAAAATCAGTAACTAGCTGACTTACTGTCATTTTATGAGTGATATAAAAAATCTAAAGTAACAGTCATCTTAAAATTCATTTTTAAATTGTGTCATAATATTTAGAAACAAAACACCGAGCAAAAAATTTAACTCTTACATTTTTATAAACTTGTACTTAGTCTGACCAATCCAGGAAGGCCGTCTCCTTAGGCATAAACTAGTTTACTGACCATCAGCAGCGGTAAAGGTGCATCATGTGACTGGCCATCATAGTTTATTGCATCTACCTCTAAGGTATGTCAGCCAGATGCTAGCTGACTCATGCTATATCTCACCCCAGCAAATGATTAGTAAAGTAGTCCAACACCTAAGGGGAGTGCCTTCCTGGGTTGGTCAGACTGTAATCATCATTATTTATTCATATTTCATCATTAAAATTATAAATTAAAGCAAACAATAAACAAACGTACTGGGAACCTGTTACCGGTGTGCTTCTTGGAAAAAGCAGAGCGTTACGAACATTTTCGAACTTGAACTTACGATAATTTACAACCGGCAGAGGGGCGCATGCCTGAATGACATCATCAATGCACGTGATAGAACTCTGAATAGTATTCCAATTTGACTTGAATTTGAATTGCATTCGCTTAACAGTCGTCAGTTACCTGAAGAAGAACTTTCAAGTTCGAAAACATTCACAACGCTCTGTTTTTTCCGAGAAGCACACTGGCAACAGGTTCCTGGTATGTTTGTTTATTGTTTACTTTAACCTGGTGTAGTATAATTCCGATTTTATAAATTAAAGCAATTAAAAAGTGATGTGAATAATTGAGAAAGTGTGTTTATTTTTCATACAACAAACTTTTTTATCTATTTACATTGCATTTAAAATTATATTTCATAAAAATTTGGTTTTGTTTTTCTTATTTTGATAAACAAAATTGTGTCATAAAATGCCAAGTTCACAAATAAAAACTTTTATTTCGCTGAAGACATTTTTGATATAAAAAATAATTTTATAATGTAAACATTATTAACTGTATGTTTAATGATATAAAATTTTTTAAAAAGCAGATTATTAATGAATACACACATGTCCAAACTTAAGGATGAATTCAGTTGCTAGTAGTGATAGCTAAAAAAGTTGACAAGCCAGTCAATGATTTTTTCTTCCTGCCGCAACATTGAGTGCTGCATTATAGTTCAAAGTAGACATAGCACACACTAACAAGTCTCTCTGGCTATTGGTAAGCACTACCATTCATTGTCCACTTATATCCAGCTTCTGTATGTATCCTTTTCACCAAAGATTAACTTTTATTGCTACAAGTTGTGTATTATCCTGTGTTAGATGTCGAGTAATACAGTTCTTGCCATGTTTATCTGCATTCATTTACATTTCTCTCTATTCATGTACAAATGTTATCTGTCTTTAAGGTTTTGGATATGTGTGTATATTTTTATATATTTGGATATTTGTGTATATATGATACAATTTTTTTAAATTAAAATTATTAAAATATCTTGAAAAACAGATATAATTTTGTTGAAAAACTCCCGACATTAACATCTGTATATAAATTCATGTTGAAATACAGTGTGTTTCAAGATAAAATTGGAAATTTTAAAACAAGTCTGAGGATTTATTTTTGAAAAATAAGAAAAAAAAAGCCTTATTGGCATATTGATTTTACTTAGTTCCAAAAAATGAAAAACTGATTAAAATCTCTGACTGGACTGGAAGACTTTATATAGAAATTATTAATCTCAATATTTATTTTTATCAATTGTAGTTTATCTCAGAATAAGAATGGAATCAATGTTTATTAAGTTTCGTGTGTAAAGCTTTGTGTTCAGTATAAAGTATAACAACATATATGGAATGTATACTAGAAAATTATAACAGTTTAAACATATCTTCTAATCTATTTGAGATTACAAAAAAAATCATTACATCATCATATAATGTGTAATTTAAATTTTTGAGGTTTATATTCTCTTCTATTTAAAATTTTCAATCCTTTTTGCCCTATGGGTTCTAAGAGGGCCCCTTTTTCGTAACCATTGTGGGTTTGGCCAGGTATGTGGGACTGACCACCCACAGCTGCTCATCCAGATTCAATTCCAGAGAATTCTGTTCTTTGTAAATTTTGTTATTTAGCTATGGCATTAGGGTGATACAAATTCAAGTTCATCACCTTGGCTCCATTTTTACTCTAGAAAATACTATAATAGTTTTAATTTTCTGAATAATGAAACATGCAATTTTAATGAAGTCAACTAACTTGAAAATGATTCTTTTTATACTTACTAGCTTACAAGTAGCATATATTCATTCCTGAACATTGAAAGTTTTTTAGGATTTACAATGCTTTATTCTTTTAAACTGGACAAGATTATTATTAGAATCAAAAATTTATGCTGTTCAAAGATTTTTATTTGTTTAAAAATAGTCTGGATAGTCATATGGTAGCCATGATATATACTATAATGCTACAGTGGGAATCTAGATTTGAATTTCATCCAGTTCTTAAAAAAATGTAGCACATGTCATTCCCCATCCCTCATTCACATTAGTTCACTCAATTTAGAATTGGAACACATATAATGAATGCAAATGTGGTTAATCATATAGAGTTTGAGCTCTACAGTCTTGCATTTACTAATCAATCAGTCTTTAACAATTTCAGTATGTTTAAATTGTTGTATTTGTTTTAAAAAAGTGAATAATAAATATAATTATTTATTGTTTTTATATTCATTTATCAATTCATTCACAGATGATCAAAATGAAGATATTAAGGAAAGAAGTAATCAATAATGAAATGAAAAAAATTATTGGACAAACAGTTTCAAGAATATTAATTGAAGGTATTTTTTAAAATAATTATGAGAATTTTTTTACTTTTCTTGCTTTTATATATAATAAGATTTATATGATGATCAGTCAAAAAATGGCCCCACAAAATTTTTGCATTTTTGGACTCAGGACTTTCAAACATTGAGAAATGCAAAAATTTTGGAGTTTTTCTGTATGTGTGGATGTTAGTGTGTGTGTGGGAGAACACAATTTTGTTCATCCATATTGAAGCTTAATAACTCCTATGTCTTTTGTCGAAAATTTCTGAAATTTTACAGGGAGATTTGTGTATTAGAAAGAGTAATGCTATTAAATTTCGGTGGTGAAAGGTTGAGAGGGTGGGGAGATAAGAGGTTGTATGTCATATCTTGATGGGATTGGACTTAATGAAATTTTTATTCATTATTAGCATTCACAGTTTTTTTTATAAAACTCATCTTCACCTCAAAATTAAGACTGTTGCCATTTTAAAGTAATCAAAAACATAAGAAGTTTTTGTAAAATAAAATAGCATAACAGATGGCGTCGCCACAATTTTAAATGTTTTTGCTGAGAAAGTCATGCAATTCATTGCTGGTTTATATTAATTTTAATTAGATATCATATATCAAAAGAGCAAGCTAATAAACAATAAACCTTAATTCTTTCTGATATACATTAACAGTTTGTAAAAAGATTTTTCATATTTATCAACTAAAATTTTAATATTAAATATTGATGGCCAGATAGGCCAGATGACTAGAGGATTTGATCCTGGGATCCCAACCACTTTTCAGTCCCGAAATTTTTGGGATTAAGTTTTCCTGATCCTGAGATTTTCGGGATTGACATCATTTTAAAAAAGTTGCAAAATAGACTGCATGAAGCAAAATGTTCAGTGCTAGTGCTCTTAACAGAATTGCTTGCCTATCATTTTAATATAAAATACAAAAAGTTTTATACCAAGCAAGCAGCACTAATTAACCTAGCAGGCTTGCAATGCTTGCTTGGAATAAAACTTCTTGTATTTTGAACTGAAATGATAAGCAAGCAGTTCTCACTGATAATATACATCATTTTTTGTATTTTTGAATTTACACAGGCACCAATCGATTTTCTGGTGCAGTCGAGGGCACTGCTCAGTGCATTTTACCTGATAATGTGCCAGCAATCTCGTTTTGCCAGGGTGGGTAATATATCCCTGATGCCTCTCTCTCTTAGGGGGGTCGACCTTAGGTGAAAAGGTTATGGCCCCACCTTGCCTGTGATCTGTCAGGATGATGCAAGAAAGCCTTTTTACATATGGGAGTAGTGGTTTGCTGGATGCTGAGAGACTCACACAGAGACTGAATTTACAAAATTAACGCGTTTAATTTAATTTACAAAATTGTTAAGAAAGAAATGAACCTGTATGAGTCTTCAAATTCTACTCGGAGCTATAATCTAGAGCGGGCTTATAAGTATTTACTAATGATTCCTCCAACTTCCATCAAATCTGAACATGCTTTCTCAGCAGCTGCATATATGTGCAACAAATTGAGAAGCAGACTTGGTGATGAAACACTGGATGTGTTGTTATTTCTCAGATCATATTTTCGCAATTCAAATTAGAATGTTCCTATTAGATTAGTTTTCTTTATATGTAAGAAAAATGTGACTGATTAATATTATTTTTAAATACTTTTTGCTAAGAAACTTACTATACTACCTACTTACTAGGTTGTTACATGAAAGTCATCTATTTAGTCAATGTTAAGAGAGATTTTTGTTAATTTTCAACATTTATTTGCATAGTTTGTTACATAAAGGTTTTTTCAATTTATGTAAGTTTAAAGAGATCTCAGTGATGCTTGAAAAAGAATAACTTTAACATGAAGACTGAGCAATTTTAAGTTTGGTTAATCTGACTGTAAGTCTGATCAGCTAGAGTGATTAGATTAGCTAGGTGTATACTGTAAAATATGTTGATTTTTGTCTAAATTTTGATTTGTTGATTAAAGAGCTGATTTCTGTAAGATTTTCTTATTTTTAGTTTTTATTAACCCTCAATACCGAAATAATCCTAGGATCCCAGGATTGACTAAGTATAATCCCAAAATCCCAGGATTAAAAATAAGGGCCAGGATTGAATTCCCTACCTGGGACCCATTGAAAATCTATTCTAATGTTGTTGTCTAAGTGTCTGAGAATGTAGTGTATGAGATTGACGAGTTTTAAGTGGTTATCAGACTTTGCAGTCCTGGGTAAAGCTATCCTACTGTCAGAATAAATGTAAGTAGTGATAGTGTAAATGATAGTGTAAGTAGTGTCTTTTGTCCTTCCTACACCTAATTGTGAATTAAGCTCATATAAATAGCTAAAGTTTCCACCTGTGCTATTGAGCAATGTGTACCTAGACAGAAGCAAGCATTGTGAAGCTCGTGGCCTAAGTTGAAGTAAACTACAAAAGCATCACCCACATCATCACCCATCTTAGAACAGTCATAGGAAAAATCCCAAACATGGGATGATCACCTGGATCTTCGAAGTAAACGTCACGGACAAACTGATGGGAGGAGTGGTAATCGTAAGTCAGGAGGGTATTTTTGTCGATGCTGAATTTTTTGATATCATTGATCAAAGTCAAACTGGGGGGAATCTTACCTACTCTAATCATTTTGTTGACATCCAAGTCACTATAATCTTGCCAGGATAAGGTGACAAGATTTTCCTGCCAAATAATGCATTTAATTTCTAAGTCGATAGGGGTCAATCCTGACATTACCAAAAGGGGACTAGTGGGTGCAGTCCTATAAGCCTTACAAATGCAAAGAGCAGCAATTGAGATATATATATTATATATATAAGGACCTCAATTATCGAAGCACTTATTAATTGAGGTTCTGCATTATCTGAGGTGAACCTGTAAGTAAATACATTATGTTTCTTACACTATATTCATTCAAGAAAGTTTAAAACAATATTAAACAAAAATACATATTAAAAAATGATTTGTTTCTGTTGCCTTTTATCATTTAAATTCAATGCAAGATGATTCACTTGTATTAAAATGTAAATACAACAATGCAGATTTTTAATTTTTAAAACTATTGTATATGTATTAGCCATATAATAAATGATATATAAGAACAATATTTTTAAAATGATTAAATTCACTAAGGCATAACAGTGATGTCATATACATCTCTTAAACTTGTAACTTTTTAATTTAAAATGACTGAGACCATCTGTTTTATCTCAGTTTTTGGTTATCCAAGGTAGCATCAGTCCACATTATATTGGATAATTGGGGTTCTATTGCATAAAGATAAGAATAACTAATATAAAAACTCTTTTCACTCTTTAAGTTAATGATAATAAATTTTGTACTAATTATAAGCCATATCATAATCCTGAACCATATTTTTTCAAATTCAATGTTTTCATAAATGAATATGATTTATATTCTAGCTGGTTTAAGGATGTAAAATTATGTATTAATTTTTTTTAGAATTGTACCATGACAAACAAATACAAGTATCAGGAGAGAAGTTTTGCACGTTGTTGATACAAATATCACAAAAGATTATGGAGGAAATTGAAAATAAAGCTTATGTAAGGATTTTTTTGAATTCTACATATGGAGTGTATGAAAAATAGAAACATTTTTATTTGCGCACAAAGTACAAAGCAGTAGAATAGGGATGCAATTCTGTGATTTATCGANTTAAATACTTTTAGATTATTTAAAAAAAAAGAAAAAAAAACAAGTAAAATGGTAAGTATCTATTTGGGACAAGACTATATCTCGGAGTCTCACTACTAAGCAGGATGATTTTGATGCTGATGGCAAGTCTTCATTCTCCAATCATCTTTGGTATCTCTGGTTTTAAGCAAATCGTTCAAACTTTGCTGGCCACGGACACAACCATGAGGTTGTCCACGATATATTTTCAGTGAAATTAACCTATTCAATGTTGAAATTTCTGTCCACTGTGTGTTGTCCTGGGTTGAATTTTTGTCTATGCCTAACGAAAATTTCCCGTTTTTGAAAAAAATAATTGTGGCTATTGTATTGTCTGAAATTATTTTTTTATTTTGCACAAACAAAAGAAATGTATTAATAAATGTAAAAACAAAAAAATATTATATTTTGGAAATTAGTTTTAATATGAAATTATAACAACTAGTGCCATCTAGTTTCAAAAACTTGCAATGTTTGCATTTCCAACTTTGCAATGAGCAATGCATGCACAAATCTTGCACTAGTGCCTGTTTGTAGAAAGAGTGTCGTCATTTTGTATTTTATTTCTATAATAAGGCCATCAGAACCAGCCATAGCCTAAGGTCCATAGCCAGAAACAGTTGGGGCCTCAACAGCATAAACAGCAAACTCATCTACAAATATGGTATTGAACCCATCTTTGCTATTGCTGTGAGGTATGGGGGTATGCAGTAAATAAGATTCACAACCGAAGGAAACTGGTCTCGGCTCAGCAGGAAGCGGCAATCGTGATCACTGAGTCCTGTAGCACTGTTCCCACGGATGCTCTCCTAGTGATTGCTGGTTGATCCCAGTCAACATAGTGATCATCCAAAAATATGTAATGAACCTCATAGTGGGCAAGCTTTTCTCCAACAACAGCCCTGATACCATTCACAAGATGATCAAATATCACAATCTTCCAGACACAATACATCCCCTGATCAATGAGATTGCAAATTGTGGCCTTGACATTAAGAAGGACCATACCTCCATCCACCCAGCAAACAGCATAACCTCCAACTTTGTCCAACTTCCACCCCAGTCCTTGAGGGGACTCAATTTTTACACAGATGGCTCCAAGGCTCCAGGTGCTGTCGGTGTAGCTGTACACCTGGTGAACCCCAAGGGAAACTCTTTTGGAATGCCGCTTACAAACTGTATGAGGGTTGCTCAGTGAATCAGGTGGAGTCTTTAGCAATATGGAAGACACTCCGATATATCCACGACAATATCCAGCAGTTCACTGGGAAAAGGATCAACATAATAAGTGACAACAAAACAGCCCTGCATCAGATAAATAAACTGTAAACTCCTCATCGTAAGTAATTGTCTGGACACATTAAGAGCCCTTGCCGGTGTGACTCACATTACTTTTTACTGGGTCAGGGATCACTCTGGCAATATTGGAAATGAAACAGTGGACAATCTGGCAAAGAAGGCTCATAAAGTAGCTTCCAAGTACTCCTACACCTCTGTTCCCATCTCCTTCCTCAGAAAGGAACTCACTGCCATCACTATGTCAAGGTGACAAAATGATTGGGACAGTAGCCACACTGGACGGAATACCCACAACTTCCTCCCAGACGTCAACTGTAGGTCCTGCCTCACTTTCCTGAGTATGACTCATTCTACAATGCAGATTCTCAGAGCCCATGGCAATTTTAAGTGCTACCTACATCGCTTCCTAAAAAAGGGAAATGGACTTTGTGACTGTCTAGTAAGGGAGAGGGATGACCCTTTCCACCTCATGTTTACTTGTACCAAGTTTGACCAGCATTGTTAACAACTCTTCAGCACCCATCCCATGCCTTCAATTGTAATGTAAGACCAACCACGACACCAATTATCATTCAGGTGTATCACCTAATTGTCATTATGTACAGACATTATAAATTGCAATTATGTAATTCTATGCTTTAATAAATGAATCCCAGCAGGTGCCCTTCCTCCTCTTCCCCCTTCTATTACTATTCCCTAATCCCCCTCTTCTCCTTATCCCACCTTCTGACCCCTTCTTCCCTCCTTTCTCCTTCTAAGACTACACCTCCGAGTAAGGCCTCACCACCTTTTATCAACTGTATTTTATTTTGACTCAGTTCTTGGTCCCCTGAGTACCTGCAAGTCTGGTTTTTTATGCTTGCATGATTTGGGCCCCTAAACACTCTGTGCCAAATTGCAACTCCTGACATGTACTCCTTCATACCTCTAAGCTGGTAAGCCGTGATGACACTGTGATTTTATAAATAAGATATAGTATTATCAATTATTAATTAAATTAGATCACTAAAATTTAATTAAATAATTACTGAATTCAAATAAAAGGTATTTTTTAAGTAAAATATTTAATTGTATGATATAAATTTAAGCATATATGTTTGTTTTATTCAGTAAATTGCAATGTAGTATAAACCAGTAGTTCTGAACCTTTTTTTCACTCATGTACCATCTGATCCTTCTTGTGTACCACTGATTGAGAACTGCTAGTATAAACTGTATTCTAATGATTAATATATATTTACTTAAATGAATAAATATATAGAATTCTGTTAAACAGTTTAATATCTTTTTTTTTGTTTGCAAACAACCTAAAAATAATAATTGCCTTATACAGACCACTATAAATAAGAAATTATAAAAATATTTGTTTTTCTCAAATATTCATTGAAATAAATTATTTAAATACAAATGCAAATTCTATTTTTGATTACAGTTTATTTTCACTAATTTATTGATGTTCATTATTATTATTAATTTTAATTTGAATCAATGCTACACATGATAATTTAAGGTTAGAACATTAACCATAAGTTNCACTCTAAAACTTGAGGCAAATCCTGCATAAAACAGAATCTATTAATATAAAATGTGAATGGAATTATGTATTTATTCAATTATATGAGCACTATAATAGTGGGACAATAAGCATAATATTAATTCAGAATGATGTATATTACATACTTCTGTTATTAATTCATATTAGTTACAACCTGTCAAAGACAAACTCAAACAAATATTGGATTGAAAGACTAAAATGCTCCATTTTGCTTCATTTAAATGATGTCATTTCCATCTAGTGATACAAATCTGTATATGTGCAACTATCTCTCAGAGAATTGGAAAAATTGAGTTTTTATGGCTGTAAATACAGGATTAGGATATCAAAATTGCATGGACCAAGATCAAAAGAGCATTAAAATGTTTCAGACATGTCATATATTTTGAGATTAAAAAAATTGTTGCCACTACTTATCAGTTGACCTTCATATAAGGTCTTTTGAAATGCACATGCTCACAAGCTATGCAGTTACTTTTAGATTGAGAGTTTCAAATCCATTGTTTAATGTAAATATTGATGCAGCCAACAGCATGGACTTATGCATGACACACTGTCAACTGCTTATATTTCATCTAAATCATGCTTTATGAACAAAAAAAAAAAAACAAATTTGTCTTTGCAAACTCTGGCTCATCCAAAAATATGTAATGAACCTCATAGTGGGCAAGCTTTTCTCCAACAACAGCCCTGATACCATTCACAAGATGATCAAATATCACAATCTTCCAGACACAATACATCCCCTGATCAATGAGATTGCAAATTGTGGCCTTGACATTAAGAAGGACCATACCTCCATCCACCCAGCAAACAGCATAACCTCCAACTTTGTCCAACTTCCACCCCAGTCCTTGAGGGGACTCAATTTTTACACAGATGGCTCCAAGGCTCCAGGTGCTGTCGGTGTAGCTGTACACCTGGTGAACCCCAAGGGAAACTCTTTTGGAATGCCGCTTACAAACTGTATGAGGGTTGCTCAGTGAATCAGGTGGAGTCTTTAGCAATATGGAAGACACTCCGATATATCCACGACAATATCCAGCAGTTCACTGGGAAAAGGATCAACATAATAAGTGACAACAAAACAGCCCTGCATCAGATAAATAAACTGTAAACTCCTCATCGTAAGTAATTGTCTGGACACATTAAGAGCCCTTGCCGGTGTGACTCACATTACTTTTTACTGGGTCAGGGATCACTCTGGCAATATTGGAAATGAAACAGTGGACAATCTGGCAAAGAAGGCTCATAAAGTAGCTTCCAAGTACTCCTACACCTCTGTTCCCATCTCCTTCCTCAGAAAGGAACTCACTGCCATCACTATGTCAAGGTGACAAAATGATTGGGACAGTAGCCACACTGGACGGAATACCCACAACTTCCTCCCAGACGTCAACTGTAGGTCCTGCCTCACTTTCCTGAGTATGACTCATTCTACAATGCAGATTCTCAGAGCCCATGGCAATTTTAAGTGCTACCTACATCGCTTCCTAAAAAAGGGAAATGGACTTTGTGACTGTCTAGTAAGGGAGAGGGATGACCCTTTCCACCTCATGTTTACTTGTACCAAGTTTGACCAGCATTGTTAACAACTCTTCAGCACCCATCCCATGCCTTCAATTGTAATGTAAGACCAACCACGACACCAATTATCATTCAGGTGTATCACCTAATTGTCATTATGTACAGACATTATAAATTGCAATTATGTAATTCTATGCTTTAATAAATGAATCCCAGCAGGTGCCCTTCCTCCTCTTCCCCCTTCTATTACTATTCCCTAATCCCCCTCTTCTCCTTATCCCACCTTCTGACCCCTTCTTCCCTCCTTTCTCCTTCTAAGACTACACCTCCGAGTAAGGCCTCACCACCTTTTATCAACTGTATTTTATTTTGACTCAGTTCTTGGTCCCCTGAGTACCTGCAAGTCTGGTTTTTTATGCTTGCATGATTTGGGCCCCTAAACACTCTGTGCCAAATTGCAACTCCTGACATGTACTCCTTCATACCTCTAAGCTGGTAAGCCGTGATGACACTGTGATTTTATAAATAAGATATAGTATTATCAATTATTAATTAAATTAGATCACTAAAATTTAATTAAATAATTACTGAATTCAAATAAAAGGTATTTTTTAAGTAAAATANTTTACGCGGAAAAAATAAAGGTCCGATACTTTTTGAACACCCCTCGTATACCCGATTTCGGTTTTTATCTAAAGACATCTCGACTTGATTTTAGAAAAACAAAATGTGAATCAACAGTGGTGATATTCGAAATATATAACAAAGGGTTCGCTAACAGAAAATTTCGCCCCCACCAGTGGGCGAGTGGTCTCCGTTGCCGCTCATCGTAGTGGTGACCAGACCCTAAAGACTGGGAGGTTCGTCGTGGGTTCGCGCCACGGTCGGACAGGCTGGCTGCTTGGAGTT